CACCACACACTCAGCCTCCACACCTCACACCTTGCAAACACACATATACGTGCATCACACACCACACACACAGTCACACATATACTCACACCCCCACATCTCATACCACATACACAGATACCACATATCACACACACAACACATGCACACTCACACCCACACCACACACACAGCACCCTCCTCATGCCCTCCACATCCCCACACCCCACACACTCACATACCACACATCATACACACATACATTATGCACACCTCACAACCACCCATCCCCATACTCACACACCATACCCACCATAGCTCACATACACATACCACACTCACACCTCACACACACAGCACAGCACCTCTACGTTCACAGAGTTTTGTAAGGTCTTTCCAAAACCCATGCAATGCCAGCCTGGCCAACATGGAGAAACCCTGTCTCTACTAAAAATACAAAAATTAGCCGGGCGTGGTGGTGGACGCCTGTAATCCCAGCTACTTGGGAGGCTGAGACAGGAGAATCACTTGAACCTGGGAGGCAGAGGCTGCAGTGAGCCAAGATTGCGCCAATGCATTCCAGCCTGGGCGATAGAACAAGACTCAGTCTCTAAAAACAAAAGAAAAAAAGAAAAAAAACAAAACCCACGCAATGCCTCACTTCTGGCGACTGCCAGGGGTCTCCCTCCCCAGTGTCTGTGTGCCATTTAGTGTCCATAAGCAAGACGACACCTTCACTGTGGGTTTTCCGGCTAGAGAAAGCGGTCCAGCTTGGAGACATAGTTTGCTAGTACATCAATCATTAAGAAAGTCATGTGTGTTTAAAACATACTGAATTTTATTTTCTTTGGAATTTTTTTTTTATTTTTTACTTAATATTACATTAGGATACAGTATAACACAACCTGGATTTGAATCCTGGCTCGGCCATTTACAAGTCAGCCAGCTAACCTTGGACAAGTAGCTTGATTTCCTCATCTGTGAAATAGGAATGACTATTATTTTTTAAATGCTTTTTTTTTTTTTTTTTTTTTTGAGAAAGGGTCTCACTCTGTTGCCCAGGCTGGAGTGCAGTGGTGAGATCTCAGCTCATGGCAACCTCTGCCTCTCAGGCTCAGGCGATTGAAATAGAAGAATTCCACGTGTCTCAAAGGGTTGTTGTGAAGGTAAGGGCCAGCCGCATAGCGCCCCTAGTGTTCTGTTTGGCACATGGTGGGTGCTCAGTGCACGGTAATGAGGAGACAACAATAGAGTTGTTCTCATCTGGCTCTGCCTCTCCCAGTGGCAGGGGCTGCACCCATTCTCAACATTGCCTTGGGCCAGGGCCCCCACCTTCTCCAGGTCCTGGGCAGCTGGTGTATCCCACCGGCTAAAGGATGAATGTATAGCTTTTGGCCGATCACCTCTCCATGAGCGTTCTAGCTCATCTTCTAGCTGAAGCTATCGCCCTACTGGGCACAGTGGCTCACACCTGTAATCCCAGCACTTTGGGAGGCCAAGGCAGGCAGATCACTTGAGGCCAGCCGTTCGAAACCAGTCTGGGCAACATGGTGAAAACCCGTTTCTAGTAAAAATACAAAAATTAGCTGGGCATGGTGGCGCACACCTATCATCCCAGCTACTCAGAGGCTGAGGCATGAGAATTGCTTGAATCTGGGAGGCAGAGGTTGCAGAGAACTGAGATCTCGCCACTGCACTCCAGCCTGGGTGACAGAGTGAGACTGCATCCCAAAGGAAAAAAAAAAGTCTCCTTCTTAGGGCAGTCTGGTTTCTCTGGAGGTTCATTCACTCCCTGCAGGCACCTGTCACTGGCTTTCTGCCCGCCAGTCTCCCCTGCTTTCCTGCATGAACTGCTCTAAGGAAAGGTCAATGTTCTATTTGTTGTCCTGGGTGGTGATGACTCTGGTGTTGACTTTCTAATACAGAGATGATAGACTTCATAATATTTTTAATAAGTGAAAAACCAAAGTAGTAATATTGAGGGTTGCCTGGAAAAGAACTGGGCTGAAAAGGAGATGTTAGGAGGCTCCTGCGGGATCCAGGCGAGAAGTGGTGAAGGTCTGGACTTGGGCACTGGCAGAGAGAATGGAGAGGTGGGGAGGGCATCCTCACACCCCAAGGTGGTGGAAACTAAGGGCTTTGGCACCTGCTGTTGCACTGAATACGTACGATGGAACTGTCCAGAACTCCAGTGACCCCTGGGTTTCCTTTAGCAGACTGCATAGTCTGTGGTGGGTGGGGCAGCAGGGGAATGGGTTGAAAGGGATGATACCTTTTGTTTAGGATGAGTTGAAGTTGGCGTGCTTGTGGGAACATCCAAGTGGAGTGTCCGGTACTCAGTCAATACGGGGACTGTAGCTCAGCAGAGTCAGGAGCAGCTATCTTCAAAAAATGCTCGCCTGCTAAAGATGGGTCCAAGTACAGTCATCCATTGCTTAACGATGGCAATGTGTTCTGAGAAGGGCATTGTTAGGGGATTGCGTCATTATGCGCACATCACGAGTGCTTGTACACAAACCTGGATGGCACAGCCTGCTGCACGCCTGGGCTATGTGGTCTGGCCTATTGCTCCTAGGTTACAATCCTGTATGGCAGGTTACTGTACTGAAACCTGTAGGCAACTGTCACACGAATCACTAGGCAACAGGAATTTTTCAGTTCCGTGGTAATCTTATGGGACCAGCATCCTATATGTGGCCCGCTGTTGACTGAAGCACCGTCATGATTGTTGTTACTTCCTCTTCTACTTGACTGGAGGGGCCAGAATCTCCCCCTCAACTGGGTAATTTTGCAGACTGAGTCACTGGATGGCCTTTCTCCCATGATCCTTCTCTCTTTACCGAAGCACAGAGTTTAATGATCTTTTCAGGCTCCTTTTCCCTTGGTTATAATGTGGAACTGCTCAGCCTGATACTTAAGAAGCTCATTCCCCATTTAAACCTTATTAGAAATCTAATTCCTCCACTAGAAAATGACAGTGCAATAACTTCAGCTTCCTATGCTAAGTGGGGGAAAGAGGCATCAAAAGCCACAAGTAAACAGGAAAGGCAGAGAGAATGAAAGCAAACCTAATATTTATTCCCGGCCCTGGGGCCTCGTTCACGGCTTCAGGGAGGCGCCTCTGCTCTTTGGGCACACCTCCGGGACTCTCCCCTAGTGTCTGCTAGTGGAAAAGACATGCAGGGGAGAGAGGTGTCCTCCCATCACCTCCCTGGCCCAGTGCCCAGCCTATGAGGAAACAGAGACCAGGGAGGTGATAGTGCCTGGCTGGGGTGATGGAGCTGTACAGAGAGCCAGGGCAGGGCTGGGGGTAGCGACAGAGGCACCCGGGCGCGTAATGTGAGGAGCTGCTCAGCCTGCCCTTGCACAACCTTGAGAGTCACCTCAAATCTCGGACTCTAGACACTTTTCTTGCTTCAACCGACCCCGGTCACAGACTGAGGACAAAATCCCAGGTATCTTGATGCTGGAGTCTATGTTCTTCTTTGCTGTACCACACTCTGTGGATTATTTCAAACTCATCTTTCACAACTGAGCTCAAATTTCCCTTCCATGAGGCTGCCCTTCATTTACAGGTTCCAGAGGCCTCTTGCCCCCACCAACCTTTCCCTGGCACTTGGTTCATACTTACCTTAAAGTATTGATCCCGTTAAGACTTATGTGCCTGTTTCTTCTCCCAACTCTATCCCAGGATAGTCTTTATAACACAGAACTCAGTATATGTCACGCATTTAATAAATACTAAACAGTGAGTGAATGAATGAATGGCCCTGTGATTTGCCGTTCAGAATGCAGAGGTGTGGTCTGGGAACGGTGTGCTGTGGACACAGCTGGTCACAGGGGTCGGGTCCCTGGATGCTTCCTCTCTTTCTACACTTTCCTCCCCACACACATGCAGACCTCCTTCCAGTCTGCAGAGCTAGACCCTTCTCAGGACTCAACTCTAGTGGGGAGGAGTCTTTCCTGAGTGCAGCCCTGGGCACTGAGTCCCGTGCTCGGTTGCTCTCCTCTTTTCCTTACTCCACTTCGCTATTCTTTCCAATCCTGGTATCTGGCCCACCATCTGCCTCTCAGGCCGTTTCCATCACAGAGAAGGGATGTCCCCGACACCTCTCTTCCGGGAGGGCCCCAGGTGGTTCTGAGCACTGCAGGTGCCCAGCAAGGAAGCGGGTGAAGCTGACTTACATCATCTACTGCTGTGCCCCATAAACCTCATACTTTACTGCTTTTTCTAAGACTTTTAGATTCAAGGGTGCAACCTGGATGTGCAAGTTTCTTACATGGATATGTTACAAAATGCTGGGGTTCAAGCTTCTATTGAACCCGCCACCCAAATAGTGAACATAGTACCTGAAAGGTAGATTTTCAACCCTTGCCCCCTTCCTCCCTCCTCTCTTTTGGAGTCCTTGGTATCTACTGTTTCCATCTTTATGTTCATGTGTACTCTTTGTTTAGCTCCTATTTATAAGTGAGAACGTGTCGTATTTGATTTTCTGTTTCTGTATTAATTCATTTAGGAAAATGGCCTCCAGTTGTATCCATGCTGTTCCAAAGGACATGATTTCAAGGCTGGGCACAGTGGCTCACGCCTGTAATCCCAGCACATTGGGAGGCTGAGGCGGGCAGATCACCTGAGCTCAGGAGTTTGAGACCAGCCTGGCCAACGTGGTGAAACCCCATTTCTACTAAAACTACAACAACAACGAAAAAAATTAGCTGGGTGTGGTGGCACGTTCCTATAATCCCAGCTACTCAGGAGGTTGAGACAGGAGAATTGCTTGAACCCAGGGGTTGGAGGTTGCAGTGAGCCGAGATCGTGCCACTATAGTCCCGCCTAGGTGACTTTGTCTCAGCAAACAAACAAAAGGACACGATTTCATTCTTTTTAATAGCTGTGTAGAATTTCATAGTGTATATGCACCACGTTACCCTTATCCAATCCACCATTGGTGTGCACCTAGGTTGGTTCCATGTCTTTGCTAATGTGAATAGTTCCACCAGACATCGGCTGTGGTGTGTTTATCACAGCTTTACTGCTTTTGCTTCTATGTATTTATTTAAGGGGCCATGCTAATCTTCTCCGTATCATTCCAATTTTAGTATATGTGCAGCCAAAGCAAGCGCAGCTTTACTGCCTTGGAGCCTACTTTCCTTTCAGCATCTGTGTGTGGATCTGTTTCCCCAAGCGTTCCTTTCCTGAGTCTCTCCTGTGGTCCTGATGATGAAGTGAACCCTGGGGACAAAGCCTCACCAAGTCCTAAGAAATATTACTACCTGCTTGTTTGGGTCTCATGTTTCTTTAAAAATTAAGACGAAGCATGTCCCTCAGTCTCCTGGAAAAGGTAATCAGAGACGATGATGAGTACCAAAGGCCCACAGTTAAAAATCATGGGTAGAAACACGCCAAACTCACTGTGCTAAAAGCGGGGAGGCAGCTTTGCTGTGTCCTCTTCAGACACAGAGGGAGCAATACCTGCTTTGGGGTCCAGGAGATTTTGGACACCTGAAGAATCCCGCCTTCAGACAGAGGGCAAGAGCAATGCAAAAAATTCCTGGACATTGCTCGGCAAAGCACAGATGAGAAATAAAAGGAGAGTAAGCCTGGGCAACCCTGGGCTCTGTCTCTTGGCGTCCCCAGTTTCCATCCCATTGCAGTGGGAATGGAGTTGGCTTAGGGGGCAGACATTCTGATTATGGCAGAACCCAAAACACGTGATAAAGAAATGTCTTTTGTTTTAGTTTTTTATTTGGATGTAGTTTCAAATTTACCAAAAAATGTATGAGGAACATTTATAAACTCTTTACCTAGATTCACTGATTGTTAACATTTTAACCTGTCAGCTTTATTGGTTGATCATCTGCTCCCCACTCCTCTCTCATAATTTTTTAAAAAAATTATTTGGAAGTCAGTTACATATGTCACGGCTGTTTACTCCTAAATACTTCAATGGGTATTTTCTAAGAACTGATGTATTAGTCTTTGCTGTACATCGCATTGCTATAAAGAACTACCAGAGCCAGGCATGGTGGTTCACACCTGTAGTCCCAACACTTTGGGAGGCCGAGGCAGGAGGATCACTTGAGGTCAGGAGTTCGAGGCCAGCCTGGCCAACATGGTGAAACTCTGCCTATACTAAAAATACAAAAATTAGCCCGGCGTGGTGGCACACACCTGTAATCCCAGCTACTCAGCAGGAGAATCATGTGAACTCGGGAGGCGGAGGTTGCTGAGACTGGTAATTTATGAAGAAAAGAGGTTTGACTCACAGTTCTGCAGGTTTAATAGGAAGCATGACTGGGGGCCTCAGGAAACTTATAATCATGGAGGAAGTTGAAGGGGAAGCAAGCAAGAGAGGGGAGAGAGAGAGAGACAGAGAGAGAGCAAGTGGGGACCTGCCAAATACTTTGAAACCATCAGATCTCGAGAACTCACTCACTATCACAAGAACAGCATGGGAGAAATCGGCCGTCATGATCCAGTCACCCTCCACCAGCACCCTCCCCAATACTGGGCATTACAATTCAACATGATATTTGGGTGAGAACACAGAGCCAAACCATATCAACAGGGATATTCTCTTCCATAACTGAGGTTATCAACTTCATGAATTTACATGGCTATGATGCTTTCTTTTTGAGATGAGGTCTTGCTGTGTTGCCCAGGCTGGATCTGAACTCCCAGGCTAAAGTGATCCTCTGGCCTCAGCCTCTGGAGTAGATGGGACTATAGGCGTGCACCACCATGCCTGGTCACGATGCTTTTAACTGAATGTTAAATTCATGTTAATGTTCCAATTTTGCCAGTTGACCCAATAATGTCCTTTATAGCATTTCTCCCACTGCAGAATAGGATCCAGTCTAGGATCAGATCCTGCATTTGGTTACCATGTCTCCTGAGCTTCCTTTAATCTGTAACATTTGTGTCACCTTTTGCCTGGTAGAACATTAATGTTTTTGAAGAGTCCCATCCCCCAGTTCCTGTCTAATGGAATGCGGCTTATTTTGTGTTTGTTCGATGCTTCCTCGTGATTAGATTGAGGCTGTGCATTCACCGTGGGAGACGGCGTAGGTGACGCTGGTGTCCTTCTCAAGCCACCACATCTGGAGGCACATGATATCCATGTGCCCCACAGTGGTGGTCATTTTCATCATCTGGACACTGTGTTGCCTCACTTATCCACTGTGTAATGACTATTTTAAAACAAACTGTCTTTTTTTTCTTTGAGAGAGTCTCGCTCTCTCATCCAGGCTGGAGTGCAGTGGGACAATCATAGCTCTCTGTAGCCTTGATCTCCTGGGTTCAAGTGATCTTCCTGCCTCAGCCTCCCAAGTAGCTGAGACTACAGGTGTGCACCACCATGCCCAGACAATTTTTTTACTTTTTGTAGAGACAGGGTCTTGCTTTGTTGGCCAGGCTGATCTGGAGCTCCTGGGCTCAAGCAATCCTCCTGCCTCAGTTTCCCAAAGTGCTGGGATTACAAGTGTGAGCCATGGCCCCCGGCCAAAATGTCGTTTTGAATGTTCATGTATTTGTAGTGTAACAAGTGATTTCCTAAACACACACACACAACCATACACACACACACACACACACACAAAATTTCATCTTCCAATAAAGTTTCTTCTTTGCAGTGCCACATACGCATGAACTCTGAGGTCTTCAAATTCTGCATGGGCAGCGTTGGCTTGCAGAGGACAGAATCCTCTCAAATAGGTTTCATTAAGAGGGGATTTAGGATATTAACGTACTTACAAAAACACTATGACATTTGAAGAAATGGATTACAAACTAAATCATGCCTTAGAGTTGGTCTTCCAATCTTCTAAGAGCAGGCAGCCTCCAACTTCAGAATCATAAATTTAGGTCATAGTCAAGAAGCTGCCAGGTGGGGCATGGTGGCTCACACCTGTAATCCAAGTTCTTTGGTAGGCTGAGGCGGGAGGATTGCCTAGGCCAGGAGTTTGGGATCAGCCTCGGCAACATAGCAAGATCCTGTCTCTATGAGAATTTTTGAAAGCTACGCAGGTGTAATGGCACATGCCTGTAGTTCCAGCTACTCAGGAGGCTGAGGTGGGAGGGTTGCTTGAGCCTGGGAGGTTGAGGCTGCAGAGAGCTGTGATTGCCCTGCCCCACTGCACTCCAGCCTAGGCAGCGGAGCAAGACCCAGTCTCTAATTAAATAAATAAATAAATAAAAGCTGCCACGATCCTCAATGGGTTGCTGGATCACACTGTACCTGCTACAGTCCACATGGACACCCAGGAGGCTAGTGACCAGATGCTGGGCATGGGGCAGCCTCTGCTCATCTCCCACAGTAAAGCTTAAGACACCCAGGGGCAAACTGGCTGGCGGGCAGAGCAGGTACAGAAGGGCAGCCTCCACCTAACAACCACCAAACCGAGATCACTCTCACAGCCCTGGCTGCAGTGGGTCTAGGAACTGCAGTCTGTTGGTTCCAGCCTGCGCTGTCCTGGGAGGGACACTCGGAGGAAGGCGGAACGGGTGGTGAGGGCTGACCCATCCCATCCACCTTGCCCCTTGCCCCAGGCTTCCTAAGATGAAGCAGCAATCCTCCTGAGAATTCAGACACTCCCTGTCCCACGCTGTCCTGCTCTAAAGCAAACCAAAGAAGGCTTCTCTTTTGTAGTGAAAATGCCAAATGTCAGAGGGCAGCTGGCTTTGAGACCATCCACGCCACAGCTAAGACTCAAGGGACAGCTTCACTCTGGATCTCCACGCATAGCTTTTGATTCTGTGCCTCTCTATAAATATATTGTTTGGAGCATAAAGCTAATAGGAAAACCAATTACTGTGGTCAGTTGCTGAAAGCATCCCTTTAGAGAACGACGCTGACCCAGTGGGCTAGCAGGTGAGGACTGAGCAGTTACAATGCAATCAAAGATAGAGCCAAGGAGGGCAGACGGCATTTGGCTCAGAATCAAAGTCAGCACTGGGGACGGGTCACAGCTGCAGGGGCGTTTCTGGGGCACTGGAATAGACTGCTTGAAACTGTGGGAGTTACGGGGGCAGGTGGGGACCAATGAACCAGGCAGGGAGCGGGCACGAAAGCCACGGTCTAACAAATCACCAAGGGACTTGCTTTCTTCTTCTTCTTCCTTCTTCTTCCTCTTCCTCTTCTTTCTTCTTCTTCTTTTTTTTTTCTGAGACGGAGTCTCGCTCTGTTGCCCAGGCTGGAGTGCAGTGGCACAATCTCGGCTCACTGCAACCTCTGCCTCCAGGGTTCAAGTGATTCTCCTGCCTCAGTCTCCCGAGTAGCTGGGATTACAGGCACCCGCTGCCACGCCCAGCTACTTTTTGTATTTCTTCAGGCAGCTTCTCTTCATCCCTGCCCCCCATTTCTCTTCCACTCTTCACCAGCCAGCGAGACACTCCACATCGTTTGCCTGAGTGTCAGTGAGAAAGAGAACCACACCGACCATGTAGACCACAACTGTCCATTGGCAGCTGTCCACAGCTCCATTTCGGCACAGTCCTCAAGACTCACCATTTTCTTTCTTTCCGTGTGTGTGTGTGTGTGTGTGTGTGTCAGGGTCTTGCTCTGTTGCCCAGGCTGGAGTGCAGTGGTGTGATCATAGCTCACTGTAGCCTTGAACTCCTGGGCTCAAGCCACCCTCCCACCTCAGCCTCCCAAGTATCTGGGACTCCAAGTGCCTGCCACCACACCCAGCTGGCGTATTCTTTTGAAGTTCCTCTAACCATAGCCTTCAGTGATAGGTTTGGGGTGGGGATCAATGGGGCATGGATAGGGCCCTGTGAAAGAACTGCTATTGAGCTCCTTCATTCCCTGAGTGGTGAGGGGAGCCGGCAGCTGAGGATAACATGCAGGTGTGTAGCCTGGGAGACTGGCAGGGGAGCAGGTTCTAGTGGGGGCAGATTCTAGTTTAGCTTCAAACAGATTGTGTGTGAGGCGACTAGGGGACATGCCCAGGAGCAATGATACCCACAAGCCTGTGACTTGAGACAGGTCTGAGTTAGATACAGTGATGGGGAGTCACCAGCAGTAAGGTTCTGGTTTTTAAAGAGGATGAAGTGGATCACAGTGTTACTATGGCAACAGGCAGTTGAGCTCGTTTTGGGGATGGAGGGTGAGACAGGGCAAGTC